TTTGACATAAAAATAAGAAAATCTCCCACCAGAATATTAAGATGAAGCTAGAAGGATTAAATACCATTTTGGACCTTAGTTTTTTGAATTGAAAACAGTGGGAGCACAATTGACTTTCTCAGTTGGTAATCAACCAGTTAAAAATTTCACAATTATTGAAAGACATTATTTTAGAGATCATTTATTGAGAAGTTATGAATTTTAATTCCCTTTTTGCATTCCTAATTCAACAAATACATGGGAACATATTTACACAATACCAGAAATAGATGAAGCAATGGTATATATAAAATAAATAATTCTATTAATTAGAGATAAGAAATGATTAATAATCCATTTTAAACTAAATCTGACAGTTTTTATTTTGTAGGTGAACAGTTAGTTATGCATAACAAGGCTGAGTATGATTACTCTCCTTTTGATTGAAATAATGGAATATTTGTTATAAATTAATATCTATATTTCACATTATTAATTTTTATTAAATGATGATCACTTTATAGAGTCATTATAATCTTTTGAGATACTTGATAATGTATAAAGATAATATTAAACTTATTCAAATAATTTTTGAAATTTGATATCCAGGATTCATTCAATAATTATATATTAGTATGATCATTATTTAATTAAATTGGATACATCATTTTAACAACATCTTTTAGTTGCTTTTAATATCTATTCCTAATGCTCCATAAATATATATTGATTAATGTTTAGTTTATTAAAACACTTTCTAATAAATTCTTTTCTTCATGTAAAAAACTCATAATTAATAAATTATTGTTTAAGGATTATATATCCAAATTTTAAATTGACTTATGTTATTAGATTTCTTATGAAATTTTATTATAATAGATTATTAGTATTAACCTCAAATATTATTAATACTATAGCATCTCTAAAAAAAAGGAAATTATTCAAAATATTTAAAAACTTACATTTATTGACTTATTAGATTTAGGCTATTTATAATGAAACAAGAATTCTAAAATCTTCCATAATCAAATTCAAACTTATTCTCATAATTCTTTAAAAGGTTTTCACCAGCAAAGAAATTTCAAGTAAGATAGGCAACAGACTCTTATAATGAAATATATTTAGCATTTAGATTTATTAAATAAGAAACTAATAATATTCTATTTACAATCCTAAGTAAATATGAGATATTCTGAAATAATTAATTATCTCTTTTTTGAAAATTGTTTAATAGTATGGTTTAATCCATTTTTCTAATAAAATAATCTAATACAGAATAATTAAAATTTCTTTATAGAAATAATCTCACTTAAGATTTAAACTTATCTTTTAATAGAATATAATTTATTAAATGAAAAATATTTATAAATGTGAATATGATATTTTTTTTATATTTTCCAAAAAACAGGAAGAGGGTTATAATTTTTATTTATTAATTGTTATCTCTTTTTAAATCGCAATAATATTGAATATATATTCATGAAATATACTTAAAATTGAACAACAGCATAACAATTAGAATCAATTGATAATATTAATGTTCATTTCATAAGCTAAGTATTATTATGATAATTTAATAAAAAAACACATTTCGGCATTTAATTGAGTAGAATTAAGAAATCAAAAAAGATAATCTTGTTATCAAAACAACACAGGATGATAATTTTCAAATATATTTAAACTCTTATTTTGAATAATTCTAATTGGATACATTAATCTCCTACACTCTAGGAAAATTTGCCTTAAGCTGCAAATATATGAAAAGCAAATTATTGAAATAAAATATAGGTTTTCCTTCTGCATTTAAATTGGATATAAAAAATGATTCTATTACTCGAATGAAAATGGAACATCCAATAATAGCATCTCCCAATTAAAGATTAATATTGAATCCCTAGTTTATTAATTAGAAATATTTATTTGAGAATTTAAATTACGAAGACAATTGTTTATATCATGATGAATTCTTAGAAGAATTATTACTTACATTATTGTTTTGGGAAATTCTTTTAAAATTATAGTAAAGGTCTTAATCAGATTCATATGATATTTTTATTTATCCTAATCGATGTAATTTTTATGTTGTAAAAAATGATTTATACCCTTTTTTTGAGTCTAATCAAACCAAAATGATGAACATTTTACTTAATACTTAAACTATTTAATATATTAACCATGAACTTGAAATTTAGAAAGAATATTAAATTTAATTTTTTGATGTTCATCCTCCAGATGAGGTGATTAATAAAGGAATTATAATCTAATTAAAAAATTCTAATGAAGATGAGGAAAAAACTTAATTTTCTGAAAATTAAAAGACTTTTGAATATTTTAAATATGATCAAGTCACTATTACTCCAAAACCATATTATTTTATATTTAGTACATTATGTGAGTTTGATTAAAATGATGAATTAATGCATATCATAGATTTTAGTCCTATAGAATAACCTAAATGTTAAAAATGTAAAATTAGTATACATCCAGATGATTTTGAATCGTTTTACACAAAAAAAGGATTACTTGATGTTTGGGAAAAAGGCTAATTATATTTACAATAACTAGCATAGTTTACATCTCCAAATTTTTTATTAGAGTACTAAAATTTTCAAATAATAAGAGATATAGAAAACTAAAACTTACATGCTTACTTTTATTAAAAAAAAGAAAAATAAAAAAATTCAATCCCAAATTAAGAATTAGTAGAATTTTCAAACCCTTTAAAGTAAAATGCTAACATTTAGGTAATAGAAGAATTCTTTATATTGTATAAAAAACTTTAAGTTAGTATACCTTATAAAATATAAGATATTATAGTACCAGATAGTTAGCAACAATATTAAATAAAAGAATGTCTTGAAAGTGATTAAGAAGGTGATTGATAAGAATAGTATAAATACCATATCATAGAGCATCTATTAATTGAATATAATTTAAAGTATCAAATTTAACAAATTCTTAAGTAATATATATAAGGAAGAGAACATAATTTTAAGAATGAATTAAGATAAATTCTTATATGAATAATTCCATCAATGTCTGTTTAGGGATGTTTATGAAGCTAATGATCTAACTTAATCTTTGAAAAGTTGGATAACGACATCTATGATAGCATTTTCCTCTAAATATATTAAAATAAATTAATACCTTATCTTCTGGCTGTTTCAGAAGCATAGAATTCTCTCTTTTCTTCTAGATCAGCTGTAGCACCAGCAACTGCATTCAAGGAATCTTTCCATAATTTAAGAGCTTTAGCTTATTAGGCCAAAACAGCTGGAAGTTACTTAATATATAATATAAGATTTATACTGTTTCCAATTTTTCAACAAGACCAGTTCTTCTTTCATGTTCAGAGTTCAACCAAGCAACTTCAGCATTTGTGTCTGAAACATATTTTGCAAGAGCGAAAGCTGCATGAATTTCTTATTCTTATAATGTGGCAAGAGTTGATTCTAATTCAGCTTGTAAATCTTATAAGATTGAAAGGACTTATTCTCCTGTGGTTCCTTCTCTCTTAACTTCAGCAAGGGATTGGAATTTTTAAAGGGCATCTTATTAGAAAAGGTGACTGTATGCAGACAATTTGTCAGCTATTGTTTAGGCTTTCTCAACAAGTTCGACTCCAGCATTATTTGTAAGGAATCCAGCAACATCTTGTTGTAAGAGTTAAACAACTGCTACAGCATCAGCATGATCAGCAAGTGATTTAACAAAAAGTCCATTGGCCCAACATCTTTAATCTTAGAGTTATGCATTTCTTCTTTCAATTTCAGCAAGTCTGGATTCAGCCCATGACAACCATTAATATCCATCCTTAAGAGTTTTATTAAATAATCATACTCTGATTTAGGCTTCAACATCTCCTCTGACTACACCAAGGGATTCCCATTATTATTTATTGAGGGAAGCAACATTTGTCAAATCACCAATAACTTAAGAAAAGATTTCTAAGAAGAGATAATGTTATTTTATTACCTTCATCTGTGTTATTCTTTTTGTCTGCGGCAGCTTAGACTTAAACATTTTCTGTCTTGAGATCTCTTAAGAGATTGTAAACAGATTCGACAGCATCATTTCCTCTGGTACCAGCTTGAAGAAGGACAGCAAATTTGTTTGTATCTAAAGCAAATACAGCTGATAATAAGCAAATTGCGATGATTGCTCTCATAATTTAATTTAATTATCTAAAAAACGGGTTTCATAATTTGGTTTATAATCCTTCATTTTATACTTAAATTTCATATTGGTAAATAATACTCTATGAAATAACATTCTTATTGTATTATGAATTCAAACAAATATTACTATCATTAAACTTTCTATATTAAGATAAATTTCTGATTTTTTTATATTTTTAGATTTTATAAACAGTTTATTTATATTTAAAATTTTCAATTTCATTTAACAATTCGATCTTTAAGATTGATTTGATTAATATATGTAAGATATATAATATAATTATCTTCAAATCCTTTTGTATTATTATAAAGTCATAAGATCTATTAATTTTTTAGATAATGTATATTATATGAATAATTCAAAAGTTAATAAAATAAAATTGATTAAGACTTCCAATTTAAATTAATTTGTAAAAATTACAAATTGAATATTAAGTTCATTAAATTTGTATTGAATCAAATTATAACTTAAAAAAATATGCATTTATAAATTTCTATAAATATTATTATAAACTAATTTAATTTATTACAATAGAATAAAACCAATAGTTAATACTGAAGATTAGATTAAATAATAAATAGAATTTATGATTTTCATAAGATTTTCAAATTTTCAATTGAAAAAGAAGATTTGAATTTATTTTAATTCCAATTGATATAAAATAAATAAAGTATTATACGAAATTAGAGGACTGAAACTATTTGATATATCTATTATTTCAATATCTCATGTATAAGTTGATCATTATTTAATAACAGCTAACAGCATAGGATTTTGTTAAGCGAGCTGTGTATTAAAGGATCTGTTTACAAATATACCATATTTATGCAAGAATAATATAGATGCTGTATTTAAATGAAAAGTAGACAACATTAACTCACTCTACTCTAAATATTTCCTTATTTTACTAATCATATAAGGTAGGAATATTTTAAGAAACTTATTGGGAAAATAAAAGAAGAAGTGTTTTAAACAGAAATTAAAAATATTTTAGATAACATCTAAACACATTAGAAAGTTAATAAAAAGACTTTTATGTCAAAAGAATAAGTCCAAATCATTTTACGTTAACTATTTTAAGATTTTTAATTTTATTAAAAATATTTGAAAAAAGTAATTCATAAGCTATAATAGTTTAATATTTAATTATTGCATCTAGCATTATCAAAGTTTATAGCTTTATTTCAAAAAATGGCTAGTATGAAACCTTCTAATTATAAAATTACTTTTGGATGAATTACTTAGTGATTAATTATTATTTAAGATATCACTATCTTATAATTATTAGAAGAAAAATGAGTAAGTTATTTATGATATTTATATTTTAAGAGCACCATAGAAGAACTTGTAATTATTTAATTTAGTTGACTGGCTAAAAGTTGAAAATATGGAATTACATGTATTAAGAGGGTCAAAAGAAAGTTATGATGAATATACAGAAGATAAATATTCCACATAGATTATTAAATCATAATAAATATAGATAGAGGTATTTTTGAATTTGAAATGAAATATAGATTTAAACATTTTACATTAAAATTGTATTGATTAGGAACTAAAGAAGTATTTACATTAGATAAATAGAGAGTTCTCTCAGTATATATTTGTCACAATAAATAAATATGTCCATAAAATTTATAATTACATAATTATTAAGTTTATTAATATTAGGATCATTTTTTCAAAATAAATTAAATAAAATATTCATGATTTCGTTCTTTTTTGTTTAAGAATGTTCCATTAATTATTAAGAGATCTTGGAAAAAGAAATTAAATTTTAGAGATAAGTTTATTAATTGTTTAATACAATAGATTTAAAATATATTTAAATAAAAAATTAAGGTATCAAATAATCTGCTGATTTGGTATGAAAATAATCAAATTAATTATGATTCAAAATACAAAACTATTTTACTGTCTAATTACAATTCTGATTTCAAAGTATTTATAAATTCCATTGATGAACAATCTAATATAAATCTTTCAATATAATCCATTTAATTGAATATTTTTAATGCCTGATTAATTTCTTCTTTTTCTAAATGTATACCCTTCAAATCCAATGAGAGACGTTTTAATTAGCTTAATTTTTATAAACCAATACAGAATTATCCAAAATGTAAATTTTGTGTTCTAATAATTTTAAATCTATTATTACTTATTTAATATAATTGTAATATATTTTACTACTGCAAAATTACCCAGTAATTGTAATAATTTATCTAATTCTTATTAATCTATTTATTATTGATATAGATTGATTTTAACTTATAAAAATGGAGATTTTTAAATGAGCTATTAAATTTATTTTAATTGTTCCTCTGTTATATTATTAATTGTTAAATAAGTAATCTATGATTTCTCTTACTGATTTAAAACAGTTGATTAAAATTTAATGATTGCTGTTTAATTAGCCAAAAAATATAATTCTCTAATATCTGCTCTTTAATGTGCTTATTATTTAAGACTCAACATAATTATTTCTGCTATTACATCACTTACCTATATTAAATATTTTAAAAATACCCATATAACATTTATACTTAATTTGCAAATTTATCAACTTAATAACATGAATGAATTCCATCTAATTCTTTAGTTGTACATAGTAGAGCTGCCTTTAAAATACAAACTCCGAAATGCCAACTATCAATCAACCTTCCATTTAATTATTATTATTAAAACTATTAACTTATTTTCTCAGGAGGATAATAAACAATATCAAAATCTTAACCAGTCTTCTAAGGATATCCTTCTAATAAATATTTTTCCTTATATTTAGCATTTGGCTCTTAGATGCTTGCTAATTTAACACTATCATTATTGATGATTATGGAAGTGGGCAAAATTCTATTTGGAAATATATTTCGTTTATGCAATTGAATAATTGCTTAAAGGATCTTTTATATAATATTTAATAATTCATCTAAATTAAAAGGTATATTTTTATTTTTTCGTTCTCTAATCAATTCATCTAAATTTTGTCCTGCATATTCTTCAATAGAGTATATCTTCACTGCCTCTCCTCTAATATATTGGGGCTATAAATTAGCAAAAATATTTTGTTTTTTACTAATTTTTGGCTATTTCACTTAACCAAGCATATTGTCTACAAAATTAGCTTTAGGTCGTATATAGAATATAGAATTCACTTAAGTGAATAAGTTAAAGTCAAGAATATTTAAATGAGCCTTTACATAAGATTAAAACAGTATATCACTTTAATGTTGTATGACATAAAACTTATGCAAAATAATTTTTTTCCCATTTACACTATATAAAGATGTTTTTCCAAATTATGCCTTCTTTAGCACCTTTTCATATTTAAAATATTTCAATAAATCAGTTTTTGAATTAACTTCTTTTAATAATTCTTATTATCTTATTGTATCAACTCCTTCTCTTAAGAAATCAAGTAATAATTTAGAATTAGGAGGAGGAGATTTAAAAAGTTATTAAAAATACTCTCCAATCTTTTATTCACGTTGTTTGATTATCTTATTTTCTCTAAATAATGTCTTTAAATATTCCTTTTTTGGAAATTGAGGAAACTAAATTGTAATAATAAATACTTAATAATTTATATTGTATTCTTGCATAGCATTATGAAGGTCAAGTAAAAAACTATATCTAACTCTAATGTCTCTCTAATCAAGTGTAAATAGATCAATAATACGAATTCTATATAAAATATTGTCTGTTGAATTATCATAACCTATTATCTTGATTTCATACTACATTCCTTATGTATTTTAACAATTTAATTATATTTTTTTTTATATTTAATAAGTCAACTTTTTATTTAAATCTCTAATTATCATCAAGTAATTGAATATTTTTATCTAAATTTTGATTTCTATATTTTTGAACCTTAATTAAATAAACTAAGAATCTATCAAATTTCTCTTAATAAATATAGAGATTAAAATATTAATCTTAATAAAAAGATAGATATTGAGAATATATTTAGACATTTAAATTCTGATATATCAATTCTGAATTATGTGAAAATTTATTTATTTGAAATTATTTAATAGTTGTTTTTAATATGAATTTTATTATTAATGAGTGATATTATAGTCAAAAGAAGAGAATAATTTAGAACAGAAATTCGTAAATAAAATCTAGAAAAAGAATTTAATAAGAAGAGATTTGAAAAATGCAATCTTATCCAAGATCTAAATGAATGTAACAATTTAATCGATTTTGAACTTAAATACAAAGATCAAATTGAAAATCAGATTTAACTTATTCTTCATAATCCAGACAATTAAAACCTTTAAAAACTAATTTAATTAGTATAGCAATTAAGTGCAAAATACAGTGTCTACATAATAGATCATAATATTTACAAAACTCTTAAACACAATGATTTAGACCTTAATTTGTGTTTGGACTTAATGTGTAATTTATGTGTTGAACCAACAGTAGTTAAACATATCTTCTCTGATCAAATATAAAAAGAGAGATTAACTTAATATTTAAACCTAATTAGTGGTAACTTATTTGAAGAACATAGAAAACTTTATTGGGAATTTATGCTTATTCTTTCAAATTCAACACATACACCTTTCCCATTTCTAAAATAAGTATTTTTGATATGTTGTGAAGAATTGATTTAATGTAGAAATAGCACAACATAAATGTAAATTAGAATTCTTCCACATTTAATTCAAAAATATCCATAAGCTAATTAATTCTATTGGGAAGCTTTAAGTTCTGCTAATACTGAGGATAGGAAACCTTGGAAATGTTTATTGCATTTTCTTAAGTAACCTAATTCAGATGTATTTTGTTGTGATTAGTTATTGCTTGCAATATATTATTTAGTTTAACATGCAATTTCAAAAATTTATTATGACTAAATTGTTACTTCAGAATTAATGTTTGTTCTTCAAAGTAATTTGTATAGACATGAAAAAACAATGATTCGATCTACTAAATTAATGTTTATCATTTTTGAAGAAAATGACACTTACTTTAAATTTATAAGTGATGATTTAATCAAATTACTTAAAATTACTTTCATAGATGGATAGATTGAAATATTAAAACTATTAGAAATAGTTCTTCGCAAAAAATAACATTTTTTATAACTTATGGACTAATATCATATAGTAGATATGTTATTTGATATTCTAAGATAGAATATATCAACAACCATGAATTATGCTACTCTAAATTGTATTGCTTTGTCCTTATTTTAATGTACTGAAATTGATAAATATTAAAAATATATCCAAATGCATTGTTCAACTTTTAAAGACATTTTAGAAAGATTTGTTTATGACACAAATAAATCTGTATAATAAACTACTGAATATCTCTTAAGAGCATACTTTGAGAAATGAATATATATATATATCTGTATATATTTATTAAATATGATATTATTTTAATAAATACCCATATTGATAAAAATTTTTGATATTTAATAATGATAATAAAATATTATATACAAAACTAATTCATTAATCTTATGGCTTAATATTTTAGAAAAGGGAATTCAGATTCTAATTTAATTATTAATTAATTTATTATGTATTATAAGGGAGATTGAATTGAGGATTTGGCTAAAATTATTAAGGTAGTTATGTGTATATTTATTAATGTTATTGCATTTATTATTGTGGAAAAGCCTGTTAATTTTAAATTAGTTATTAATATTATTATTGTTATTACATTTACAATTACATTTATTATTAAAGAAACATTTATTAATAATATTACTATTATTATTACATGGAATGCTGAATTTATATCATTTATTATTATTGTTATTGTGGTTATTAATTATTAACCTAGACTTTATTATTTTATTATGTAAATGGTAATTATTTATCATGCTTTTATTATTTATGAGGTTTTTCTTTTTTATTATTATTTTTCTTCACTTCTCCTTCTTCTTTATTTCCTCTTTTTTTAGATACAGCTTCTATTTCATCATCTGAATATTCAACATCATGTTCATTAAGCACTTCTTCATCAAATTAATTAGAAGCATCGCAACCTTTTTTACTTTTGATTAAATTAAAAATTACTTAAGCAATTACCTAATGGCTTCAGGAGTAAGTACAGAAGTATTATCAATATTAATGAAGACATTATCTCCAATTTTTAGTTGATTAGTTTAAATTAGATTATTTACATATCCATCTAACAAAATTGAATAATGAGGTCTTTCAACTTTACCAAAGACATCATCAACCTTTCCTAAGATTTCTTATTAATCATTAACAAATAATTAATCTAAATTGATGACAAATTCCAAAAGATTGGAATAAATTATAATGTTTTCTCTTGTAATTGATTCAATTTTGCCAATTAATTAGATTCGATCTGAATGTTTATAATTGAAGTTGATTTCTCTCTATTCTTTAGTTTCTGGAGGAGCAAATTAAACTTTTGGTAATACCTCATTTTTGCTTACAATTCTTGAACTCTTTTCTTCATCTTCCATGTTATTTAACTTAATTTAGAAATTTTAGTTACTTAGGCTTTGATTTATTGATAAAATTCATCACTGCTAGAATTACTATTTTCATGATCGTCCATTAAATTATAATTATTATACATATCACATTTCAATTTCTAATTAATTTGGTGGGTTGTGTTACTAATACTCTCTATATTATTCCACAAAATAATTGTATCTTTGTCTCCCAAGATCAAAAAAGTTAGTTACAGTCAACATCAATATCATAGCCAAATAGTAATTAAAACACTCATACAATCGTTGAAAGAGATCAAAACTTTCAAAAAAAGGGTATTGTGAGAAAAGTAAGAAAAATAATATAAAACAAGTTGTTGATCCAATATTAATATAAACTATAATGGGATAATTCTAGAAATTTATTAATATATAATATTTACAGTATTATGTAGAAGTAGCACTTTAAAATTTACAATAAATACAACTGCACTCATTATAGTCATTCCAGCTTCTAAGTAGGTAGAATTCTATCCATGAATATGTGGGGATATAGGTTCAAATGCATAAAATGAAATCACCATCAATAATATTGCTTATAACAAACCCCATAAAAATTATTGCCAAAAAGATACTAAATTAAAGATAGGCTTAGTTAGATACTCCCTGTAAATATCTGGTCTTGATTCTAAGAAATTTGCCTTATCTTAAACTAATTGCATATAATTTGAATTTGGATATTTCTCATCAAATAGAGCATATAGAATAATAGGTAAACTAGTAAAAAATACATTGAAAATTTAGGACAACCATTAATCATATAGATTTTGCCCACTGAATCCGTTTGAAAAACCAAAAAAGAAAAAAGCTCCAATATATAATTAATTCTTGTAAAAGTTAAATAGAATTAAATTGCTATTTTTCCTATATGATTCATGTCCTGAATAAAACAACAACCTTCTTAAATGTTTAAATTCTCCAATAGCATAATCACTAGCCTTTGCTGCCTACTACCCTTCTAAACCTCTAATTCCTATACCAACATGAGCCTAAGTAATCATAGCAACATCATTTGCACCATCACCTATCGCTAAAGTTATTTTGCCAGTCAATCTTCTAACTAAATTTACAATTTCTTATTTTTGCTTAGGTGAAACTCTACAAGCCATAACAGCATTTGCCTTCAAAGCCACTTTAAAGAAAACTTCTTTAAAATTGTGTATAATAATAACAAGAGCTACACCTGATACTATTAATGATAAAGGTTCATCAGGATGATCATTAATGTAATTAGTAACTTTAGCTAATTATCTTTCAACTTATCCTTCTACATCCCCATCTATTATAAATCGTTTAACTTAATCTGTCAGTAATTTGCATGAAAAACCAATGTTAATAGCTGTTTCTATTTTATCTCCAGTCAAAACCCATACATTAATTCCAGCAGATTTTAAATCAGCAATTACTTCTCCAACTTTATCTTATAATTTATCTTCAATTGCTGTTGCACACAATAATTATAAATTATTTTCAATCATTTCTTCTAGTTGATTCATTAATGATTCTCTTAATTAATCATCATCTAAAATAGCTTATGCTCTGTTATATTCAGATAAAAACTTTTCATATTCTTTCTACTCCAATTCTTTATATCCTAAAACTAAAGTTCTTAAACCAATTGTAGCATATTCTTGTAACTGTTTTTTAATTTCAAATAAGATATTTTTCTAAATAGAATCATTTTCGTCAAAATCTTATAACATAGATAAAATCACATTATCAGCTCCTTTACAAAATAAGGTCAATCTTCCATTTTAATCTTTTAAAACTATAGACATTCTCTTTCTAGTACTATTGAATTCAATAATCTATTATATTTGAAACTTTAAGGTTTCTTTACTATGTTTAATGTAAACCTTCATTACATTGTCTTCTTTACCAATATATTTAAATCCCATCTCTGCTGCAAAACTTACCAATGCTAATTCATCTGGAGAACTTGCATTATATTAAATTTCTGATTCAATATTTTCAACTAATTCTGTTTATATAGTATGACATAAAGATAAGCATAGGAGAGTTAAGAATACATGATCATTATTTGAGAAATTCTTAGCAGATTTTTTATTCATGAATTCAGATACTAATTCAGAATATAGGGTGTCATCTGTAAAATCTACATTTTATGATACAATTCTCTATTTTTCCTTAAAAGGTTTCTCATCTATTATTTCTTATTAAGGTTATTCCTCTATATCTCCATAAACAATATCATCAATTATAATAGATTTAAATTTCATTATGTTTTATGTCAATGTTCCTGTTTTATCACTAAATATATATTCAATAACTCCTAATTCTTCACTTAAATTTGAGGAATGAACAGCTGCTGGTCGATCAAAGGTTAAATAATTCTTATCCCATTATATCATTTAAGCTTAAAAGAATTTAACTGTTTCTAATGTAACCAATAATGAAATTGGAACACTATTACCTAATAATAAAAACCACATTGCAAATCTTAATATAAAATTGTAAAAGGAATTATTCTCTGGAGCATTTTAATCAATATTCAAATAAGATTGTAATTCATTCACATTTCTTTAGTACCATACATTATAATATGTTGATGCAAATATACATTCAAACAACAAAAATAAGAATACCCATAAAATTTATTTGCTCATCAATTTCTCAACTGTACTATATTTCATTTTTCCTATAATAGAATTCATCATTATCTTAGTATCATGACCTGTATATACAGTAACTGCTAAAATCCAATCAGTATTTTATAGAGAACATCCTCTTTCTAAAAAATTTTCATAATTTAATGGTTCCTTTGGTAATTCTTTATTTTCATTAACAATATTGAAACTTCCCTTAAATTTATACATAAGAGGATTTTATCTTTCAAAATCCATAGTCACAAATCTAAGATATTTTATTTCAAAATTACAAATTATAAGGTAACTCTTTCTCATTTAATTATCTGTATAATGTTTGCAATTATGGATGTGCATATTTAGGTTTGAGATTAGTTTCACCATCTAGATTCTTAGTTTCTACAAAACATTCTCCTCCTTTCGAAGTTGCTAATATAATAATATCAGCAGGAATTCTCTACTCTTAAGTTAAAATCATACCTATTTATTTGCAATTCTTATTATGTCTCCTACATAAACATTTTACCATTTGTCATATTCGAAAACTCCTGTTCGAAGCGAATATTTCTATACAGTTCGATTGTTTTCTTCATCATCTGCTCGGTGTCTAATGGTGATGATTGAGGTACCTTTTAAAGTCTTCAAAAAAATCCTTGATCATGCTGACCATAATAATGAATGAAAGGGGTAAATAAACAGTTGGTTGTCCATCAGTAGTTGTGACTGGAGGAAGGATTTAACTAAATTGAATTCAAATTGATTACAATATGCCTAAAAGCAAAAAATACAAATTAGATGCTTTCCTAAATTATTCTAATGAGTTTTTGGGTAAGAATGTGAGCATATTATACTTAGAAGTCTCTACTCTATTATTGGGAATATTTTTATCTGCGGTACCAATCAGAATCTAAGAATTTAAAAACCTGTTATACTTTTCTGTCTGGTTGTAATTCCCAAGGAGCTCTTCTTTTGCAACAACAAGTTCTTATTTAGTTTTCATTCTGATGCTTTCTGTACTCAACTATATTCATATATATAATATTAATTGAATATTCTTGTATACAATACACATCAATTTCATTATAATAAAAAGTTAATCAAGAAAGCACTAGTAACTCCAATTCCAAAGCCAAGATGACAATCACTAAAGTAGTGGCAACAGAAATAAACTCTACCTAACATTACATTAAGAGTCATAAGTATTGCAATTAAAATAACAACAATGTCTCCTAATATATTTAATATCCAAAATACTATTTCCATAAGCATTGAGAAAGTAAAAGAGAAAGGTTGCAGCTTAGGCACAATCTCCACTAGGTAAGGAATAATTAGTTTCTTTATTCCTAAAATACATAGGTTTAAGTGATAATTGTGGACGAGGTTTAGGTCTTGGTCTTTTGAAATGTTTTTTAAAGAAAGTTGTTAACACTAGTGACAGAACTATTGAAATCACATATCTTATTGAATAAGCATAACCGTATTAATAAGTTATGAAGAAAATAGGTGCAGCAATAGTAGTTGGTGAAAAAATCAATGCTGGTAAAAATAGCATCACTGTTAACATTAAACTTTCATGGCCATGAATAATTGCTGATAAGTACACATCCCAGTATAGTAATTTCTCAAAAACTCTTTAAAGTGACATTTCCTTAGTATTCTGATTTTAATTAAATTAATTTAAGAGTATTTTTAAACATTTCCATTAATCATTATATCTCAATAATTAAATATAAATGAATTAATAGATATCATAAGAATATTTCATTCATAAGTTTGCATCTATCTCATTGAGCGAAAGTATCAAATCTGTTCACCTATGATTAGCTGATGATGACAATTCCAAACAAAGTAGTCCAGCTTTAGATTCTCGATTATTAGAATTTGTAGGGACTCTTCCAGCACACATTAAATAAAAATTAGAAAATTTCAAACCTAACTCAGACTTTTAGATTTCAAAATAAAATGATGACAGTGTATACTTTGGCACATTGGAGTTAGGACTAAAAGTTGGAATTGGTATTTAAGTTTGGCCATAGGCTGGAAATTTATTAATTGGGTAACATACAATTTATATATTATAATAGGACATGGTAAAACGATATGCTTCAAGGAGTTTGTACTATGCATTATAGGAATGGAGATATGTATAATATATGTTAATAATAAAGTTTTGAAGCTTAGTTCTAAAATGGCCGCACAAATGGTTTTGGTATGTTTAAATCGGAAAAAAAAATAGTTAAAGGTAGAATAAATTCTTATTTTTAGGAATTTGGATCAATAATCAGTTGGAAGGAGAAGCCTAAGAAATTAAGAGTGATGGAACAAGGTTTTATGGATAATTTCATAACGGCAAGAAAAATGGCAGAGGGATTCAAGTGTTCCCTGATGGATGCAAGTTTTATATTTCTTATATCTATTTGTAGATATGAAGGATCATTTGAAAATAACTAATTTTCAGGTTATGGAATATTTTATTGGAGTGATGGAAGTTATTATCAAGGATAATTTCAGAAGGGTCTGATCATGGGATTTGGTAATTACATTAATAATAATGGACTTCAATTAATAGGACAGGTATTGCTGTATGATTCTATATTGTATAGTTTTCTGAAATTAAAAAAACATAAGCGAAGGAGGTTGGTCTCAATAAAAATCTACAGAGCATTATGTACTTAAACCAGTACAATTAAAGTCTTTTAATCGAAAAGATACACTTTCTCTGACTTTATATATATATTTTTTTAATTATATTAATATTATTATTATCATTAGATGGTTTACTAGTATGATATTTTATTAATAAATATATAAAAAAATAAAATTCGTTTTTGGAATTTTTAACACTTAATTATCTGGTGTTGGCTTCATTATTAATTAAAATATATGTATAAATTAGCAGTCTGCACATTGCTTATCCTTAGCGTAACAGCAATTGATGTCACAAACTCAGTTTGGACAAGCCATGACCAAAAAGCTTTTGCTTAAATTAAACAATCTGGTTGGGGTAATTTCATTTTGAACTTTGGTGAACTCCATTTAACTACAGGAGGTATCCTTGCAGAATTAAACACTGAAATTGCTAAACTTGTAATTACTTTTTNAGAAAGTAAAAGAGAAAGGTTGCAGCTTAGGCACAATCTCCACTAGGTAAGGAATAATTAGTTTCTTTATTCCTAAAATACATAGGTTTAAGTGATAATTGTGGACGAGGTTTAGGTCTTGGTCTTTTGAAATGTTTTTTAAAGAAAGTTGTTAACACTAGTGACAGAACTATTGAAATCACATATCTTATTGAATAAGCATAACCGTATTAATAAGTTATGAAGAAAATAGGTGCAGCAATAGTAGTTGGTGAAAAAATCAATGCTGGTAAAAATAGCATCACTGTTAACATTAAACTTTCATGGCCATGAATAATTGCTGATAAGTACACATCCCAGTATAGTAATTTCTCAAAAACTCTTTAAAGTGACATTTCCTTAGTATTCTGATTTTAATTAAATTAATTTAAGAGTATTTTTAAACATTTCCATTAATCATTATATCTCAATAATTAAATATAAATGAATTAATAGATATCATAAGAATATTTCATTCATAAGTTTGCATCTATCTCATTGAGCGAAAGTATCAAATCTGTTCACCTATGATTAGCTGATGATGACAATTCCAAACAAAGTAGTCCAGCTTTAGATTCTCGATTATTAGAATTTGTAGGGACTCTTCCAGCACACATTAAATAAAAATTAGAAAATTTCAAACCTAACTCAGACTTTTAGATTTCAAAATAAAGTGATGACAGTGTATACTTTGGCACATTGGAGTTAGGACTCAAAGTTGGAAATGGTATTTAAGTTTGGCCATAGGCTGGAAATTTATTAATTGGGTAACATACAATTTATATATTATTATAGGACATGGTAAAACGATTTGCTTCAAGGAGTTTGTACTATGCATTATAGGAATGGAGATATGTATAATATATGTTAATAATAAAGTTTTGAAGCTTAGTTCTAAAATGGCCGCACAAATGGTTTTGGTATGTTTAAATCGGAAAAAAAAATAGTTAAAGGTAGAATAAATTCTTATTTTTAGGAATTTGGATCAATAATCAGTTGGAAGGAGAAGCCTAAGAAATTAAGAGTGATGGAACAAGGTTTTATGGATAATTTCATAACGGCAAGAAAAATGGCAGAGGGATTCAAGTGTTCCCTGATGGATGCAAGTTTTATATTTCTTATATCTATTTGTAGATATGAAGGATCATTTGAAAATAACTAATTTTCAGGTTATGGAATATTTTATTGGAGTGATGGAAGTTATTATCAAGGATAATTTCAGAAGGGTCTGATCATGGGATTTGGTAATTACATTAATAATAATGGACTTCAATTAATAGGACAGGTATTGCTGTATGATTCTATATTGTATAGTTTTCTGAAATTAAAAAAACATAAGCGAAGGAGGTTGGTCTCAATAAAAATCTACAGAGCATTATGTACTTAAACCAGTACAATTAAAGTCTTTTAATCGAAAAGATACACTTTCTCTGACTTTATATATATATTTTTTTAATTATATTAATATTATTATTATCATTAGATGGTTTACTAGTATGATATTTTATTAATAAATATATAAAAAAATAAAATTCGTTTTTGGAATTTTTAACACTTAATTATCTGGTGTTGGCTTCATTATTAATTAAAATATATGTATAAATTAGCAGTCTGCACATTGCTTATCCTTAGCGTAACAGCAATTGATGTCACAAACTCAGTTTGGACAAGCCATGACCAAAAAGCTTTTGCTTAAATTAAACAATCTGGTTGGGGTAATTTCATTTTGAACTTTGGTGAACTCCATTTAACTACAGGAGGTATCCTTGCAGAATTAAACACTGAAATTGCTAAACTTGTAATTACTTTTTTGATTAATTCGTTTAGATTGACGAATTAGATGAGGAATTAGCAGAAGTCCATCATCAATATGCAAGAAGAACAGACGTTCACAACAGAGAAGTCAATAGACTTTCATAAGAAATCTAAGATAAAGAAAGAGGTATATTATTAAATTTATAGATTTATTTTAGAGGTCTTCAACGCCCACGATTTTTATGATAACGTTTTGATCCCATAAAGAGATAGATTTGCTGCTCAACTTGAATAATTATAAGAAAACATTGCTTAAAACAGAAAGACACTTAATGAGGCAACAGTTCAAAGAGCTAATGATCATGCTGAATTTGAAGCTAAAGTTGCTGAACATAACGAAGCCATCAGTGCTATTGATGAATCATTATAATTACTCAGTTAATTAGAATCACCATCCCTTGTCTAAATCTAAAAGGTCTAAAAGAATTTGACCAAAATTTAATAATCACTCAAAAGACATAGCACATTCTAAACCTTCATCAAGACTCTTTTGGAAATTGCTGTTGAAGCTAACTTTGCTGATCAAGGTGCTCTTAGAGAAGTATTGATATTTTGTTAACTCTTTCATAGATTTTGACTGCCTTCAACAATTTGAGAGTTTAATTAGTTGACTCCCTCAACCAACTCACTGCTGATGAAGCTGAAGCCTAAAAAGACTTTGAAGCAAGAGTTATTCAATTAAACTAAGAACATGCTGAATTCTAAAGAGCTGTTGTAGTTAAGACAGCTGAAATTGAAGCCAATGCAAGTAAATATTTAATAATAATAATTAATAGACAAGATTGAATAAACCCTTGATTTAATTGATGTCTTACATGCAGATTTGGATACCTTGAATGGATAATTATAAGCAGAAAATGATGACTTTGCTTTCGCAACTGACGTTTACAATGCTACCGTTGCTGAATACAACAAGGAATTAAATGCCGCCCACTAAGCCTTAGATTTATTGAACCAACCAAGATTTACCGATTACGTTAAATCTTAACTCAAGGGAGCATTTTGATATTATTCATTCAATAAAAGTAAATGAATTCATTATTAAATTACATTAAAATATTCTTTCTATTCCAATAATTAAATAAACATATTTGCGTGATGTCAGAAATAGATCCTATTACAATTAAACTTGTCGTTGTCGGTGATGGAAATGTAGGCAAGACATGTATACTTCTCAGGTATTTCTATTAAAAATCCATAGCTACACAACAGATAAATTTCCTTAAGATTATGTTCCCACAGTTTTTGAAAATTATACCACATAAACAGCTGTTGATGGAAAGATGATTAATTTAAGTTTATGGGATACTGCAGGATAAGAAACATATAATAGACTAAGAACATTATCCTATAATTCAGCTGATGTCTTTTTAGTTGTCTTCTCTGTTATTGAAGAATCTAGTTTTGAAAATGCAATAATTAAATGGTATCCAGAATTAGAGGCTCCTGAATTAAAATGTGTACCAAAAATATTTGTTGGAAATAAAATTGATATGAGAAATTAAGCAAATCCAAGTCATGTTTAATAAGAAGCTGTAATCTTTAATTTAATCAACCTATTAGGCAAAATCAAAAGTTGAAAAATTACAATGTCAATATTTGGAATGTTCTGCATTAACATAAATTGGTTTGAAAGAAATTTTTGACTAAGCAATTAAAAAAGCCATAAAAGTCAAAACCTTAAAGTCATAAAATTAAACCTTGCAAAATATTACAAGTACTATTTAAAAAGACTAAAAACCTTCAAATGAAGAAAAATGCTGTTGCTCAACCTTTTGATAACATATACATTAACATGCTTTAATTATATATTTATGCAAACAATGAAAACAACTTTAAATTCTATATATATATATGTTATTTTAATTCATTTCAAGAATTAGGAACTTGGATTTTATTTTTTGATAATTTTAAAAGCCACATGATGAGCTTAATAAACTTCTGGAATCCTTATCACTCTATTAAGCCATGCATTTGTAATTGGATATTTTTAGAAATCAAATTTAATCATGTCTAATTACATCATTTCGCAACAAGCACTTATATCAGCCAAAGTTGCTTAATCACCACAAATGTAGTTTCTACCTTTTAGCCAATCTACAAATGTTTTATATAATTACTGCTCTCAAAATATTAAAACACTTTTGCCACATCTTGTTTTTCCTTTTCCAGTACTTCAGGAATTACCTTCTCTCCCTTTATTGGTGATATCAGCACTGAGTGGTACAAGTGTAAACATCTTCTTGTATTTGTGTGATGATAGTCTAGATATTGATCTATTCTAGTTTATTATCTGATGTCTGTAAGAGGGTATCTTATTAATCTTTAGAAACTTACAAATTAGTTGATATATTTCTCTATTTGATTATGTATCTCATTATATTGTGACTTTCAGCAACAGTAAAATCTCCATCTTATAATACAGGCACTAAAGTTTTTTTAATTTGAATACATTATTATAATGGATGAATTGCTGTGAATTCAGGTGACTTGTGTTCATCGAATTAAATCTTTAAAGCCTTGACTTCATGAGGGACTTTGAGGATATCTAAAACAGCCTTTACAGCTCTAGATGGCTATGAAATCCAATCTATATATAATTTAATCATGAAAATTGTTATTNTTGAACCAACCAAGATTTACCGATTACGTTAAATCTTAACTCAAGGGAGCATTTTGATATTATTCATTCAATAAAAGTAAATGAATTCATTATTAAATTACATTAAAATATTCTTTCTATTCCAATAATTAAATAAACATATTTGCGTGATGTCAGAAATAGATCCTATTACAATTAAACTTGTCGTTGTCGGTGATGGAAATGTAGGCAAGACATGTATACTTCTCAGGTATTTCTATTAAAAATCCATAGCTACACAACAGATAAATTTCCTTAAGATTATGTTCCCACAGTTTTTGAAAATTATACCACATAAACAGCTGTTGATGGAAAGATGATTAATTTAAGTTTATGGGATACTGCAGGATAAGAAACATATAATAGACTAAGAACATTATCCTATAATTCAGCTGATGTCTTTTTAGTTGTCTTCTCTGTTATTGAAGAATCTAGTTTTGAAAATGCAATAATTAAATGGTATCCAGAATTAGAGGCTCCTGAATTAAAATGTGTACCAAAAATATTTGTTGGAAATAAAATTGATATGAGAAATTAAGCAAATCCAAGTCATGTTTAATAAGAAGCTGTAATCTTTAATTTAATCAACCTATTAGGCAAAATCAAAAGTTGAAAAATTACAATGTCAATATTTGGAATGTTCTGCATTAACATAAATTGGTTTGAAAGAAATTTTTGACTAAGCAATTAAAAAAGCCATAAAAGTCAAAACCTTAAAGTCATAAAATTAAACCTTGCAAAATATTACAAGTACTATTTAAAAAGACTAAAAACCTTCAAATGAAGAAAAATGCTGTTGCTCAACCTTTTGATAACATATACATTAACATGCTTTAATTATATATTTATGCAAACAATGAAAACAACTTTAAATTCTATATATATATATGTTATTTTAATTCATT